CCACTGCTTGTGAATGGAACTGTTTTTCCTGTGAAGTTGGACACTGGGGCGAAGGCTAATTTGATAAATGAGCGTGATATTGAAGCCATGGATGTGAAACCGCTCATTCGTCAGGCATCTAGCACCCTCAAAGCCTACAATGGCCAATCCATCATCACCAAAGGCAAGTGTACTCTCACAGTACACGTTAAAGGTAAAGAACACGACTTGGAGTTTATAGTTGTGCCGAAAGGTCATGATTCTTTGATAGGAGATGAAGCATGTGAACGGCTAGGTTTGGTCCATAGAGTGTATCATGTCAACGGGGATCCGCACAGCAGCGCAGAAACTATTGTTGGCCAATACCCGGATGTATTTGAGGGTTTTGGGGCCTTGCCCTACACATATAAGATACATCTCAAGGACAATGCCAGACCTGTTGTTCATGCTCCTAGGCGAGTTCCGGGTGCCCTGAGGTGCAAACTGAAACACGAACTCGACCGGATGACCCTGTTGGGAGTCATACGGAAGGTGGAGGCTCCGACTGAGTGGGTTAATTCCATGGTTTGTGTCAAGAAGCCTAATGGTGACCTGAGGATCCGTATGGACCCTAAGGATTTAAATGATAACATCAAAAGGGAACATTACTTACTTCCTACCAGAGAGGAAATTGTAAGTGAGATGTCTGGTGCAAAGTTATTTTCTAAATTGGATGCATCTCATGGGTTCTGGCAGATTAAGTTGGAGGATGAGAGCTCCAAATTATGTACTTTTAATACTCCCTTTGGGCGGTACCAGTTTCTGAGGATGCCATTTGGAATTACTTCAGCCCCTGAAGTGTTTCATAAAACTATGGAGTACATCCTTGAAGGGCTCGACGGGGTACGGGTGTATGTGGACGATATCATCATCTGGGGGGCAACTGTGGAGCAACATAATGAAAGACTCGTTAGAGTACTACAGAGAATCCGGGCAAATGGGCTGAAACTGAATAAAGCAAAATGCCAGTTCGGTGTCAGAGAAATAGTTTTCCTTGGAGACCAACTGTCTGGGGCAGGTGTCAAGCCAGATGACAGGAAAATTAAAGCAATACCATACCATACCATACCATTTTATTTATAAAGCGCATTCAACATGGCATTACAACCAGACAAGGCGCTGTACATTAAAAGATTACAGTTAATTAACACGTATGACATTTAAAGCATAGTTTATAAGAAAAAATGAAAACAAGAAAATACTAGAACTAACAGTCGTAAAACACTAAAAACACAAAAGGAATGTGAAACAACAGATAAAAACATATGAAAGAACCACAGTAATACAGATGTTAATTATAGTTCATTCTATTGTAGAAAGAATGCAGATGTCGAAAGTGGTCCATGACTATGTATTATATGCAAGGTTGAAGTAGTGAGTTTTCATGCGAGATTTAAAAATGCTAATTGTTGGTGCTTGCCTCACTAGTAGTGGTAATGCATTCCACAGCTTGGGAGCACAGACAGAGAAAGCCCTTTCTCCACGGCTTTTCAGACGTGCGTTTGGAAGAGCTAGGAGGAGCTTATCTTCAGACCTGAGAGCACGAGGCGGATTGTAGTAATGGACGAGTTGACACAGATATGGAGGAGCTTGACTGTTCAGGGATTTATAAGTGAGAAGCATGATTTTGAAATTGATCCTGAGATGAACGGGCAACCAGTGGAGAGATTTTAGAATTGGTGTAATGTGCTGTCTTCTGTCAACTCCAGTCAGGAACCTAGCTGCTGAATTCTGGACTAGCTGAAGTCTAGATTGAGCTGCTTTACTGATGCCGTATAAGCAGGAGTTGGAGTAATCCAGCCGTGAAGTGATGAAAGTGTGGACTACTGATTTGAGAAGACGGACACTCAGGATGTGCTTAAGTTTAGAGATACGCCTGAGGTGGTAAAAACATGATTTAACTGTGTTATTGACCTGAGCATCCATCTTCAGAGCCTGGTCTATTTTAACTCCAAGGTTGGAAATTACAGTGGAGACATTAGGTGAGAGATAGTGGAGATGCCTTGTCCTGCAGATAAAAAAGCAGTTCTCCGAGCCCTTGGAATGATTAACTTTGTTGGAAAGTTCATTCCCAATCTGTCTTCGAAAACATTGCACCTGAGACAGTTGCTGCATGAGAAACAGGAGTTCTCGTGGACTGGTGATCATGATGATGAGTGGAAGCGACTTAAACACATCCTTACCTCTGAACCAGTCCTGATGTTTTATGATCCCCAGAGACAGACAAAGATTTCCACAGATGCATCGACCCATGGGATTGGAGCCGTGCTCCTGCAGCATGATGGGGATGACTGGAGACCAGTTGCTTATGCATCACGAGCGATGACTGCGGCTGAATGTCGTTATGCACAGATTGAAAAGGAGTGCTTGGGACTTGTGTATGGTTTTGAGAAATTCCATAACTTTGTGTATGGTCTCCCCAGGTTTTTGGCTGAAACGGATCACAAGCCTTTGGTATCCATTGTAAAAAAAGAATCTTAGTGACATGTCACCCCGCCTTCAAAGGCTCATGATGAAGCTTCTCAGTTATGATTTTGAGCTCATCTACACACCAGGGAAACAGGTTGTTTTTGCTGATGCTCTGTCCAGGGCTGTTCCGCTGCATGGTGCCCAGAATGTGGGTTCCATTCAGTTAGATGTGGAGGTCCATGTGGATATGATTAAAGAGTCCCTTCCTGTGACTGACAGAAAGTCTAAGCGGATTGCTGATGAAACTGCCAAGGATGAGATCCTCCAGAGAGTTATGAATAAACTACAGGGTGAATGGCCAAAAGGGGAATGTCAGCAGTACTTTAACATCCGAGCAGAGCTGAGTGTCGTTGATGGACTTCTACTCAGAGGACAGAGGATAATAATTCCAACGTCTATGAGACCTGAGATTCTGCAGAGGCTGCATGAGGGGCATCTGGGCAGGGAAAAGTGTAAAAGACGAGCCAGGTCAGCGGTTTATTTGCCAGGAATCAACACTGATATTGACAGAATGGTTTCAGGATGTGGGACCTGTCTGAAGTATCACATGACACAAACCAAGGAGCCGATGGTGCTCACCGATCTACCTGAAGAGCCTTGGCACAAGGTGGGGACTGATTTGTTTCATTTGGATGGAAGACATTACTTATTAGTTATTGACTATTATTCCAATTATCCGGAAGTGGTGGTCCTCCCCAATATTTCTGCTGTTACTGTAATTTCGTCTTTGAAATCAATTTTTGCCCGACAAGGGATCCCTCATGTTGTGTACAGTGACAATGGACCGTGTTACAGCTGCCAAGAGTTTCATGAGTTTGCTGTGGATTATGACTTCCTGCATATCACCTCGAGCCCTCTGTTTCCTCAGTCGAATGGGAAGGCTGAGAAGGGGGTCCAGATCGTGAAGCATCTTCTCAGGAAGGCGAAAGACAGCCATGCTGACCCCCATTTGGCTCTATTGACTTATAGAGCCTCACCCCTTGAACATGGTGTGTCCCCTGCTGAACTTCTGATGGGACGAAGATTGAGGACCACTCTCCCATTCCGTGATGCCCATGGGGTACCCCAGGATCTGGGGTTCCAAAGAAGGTCTCTGCAGCTGAGACAGAAGAGGAACTATGACAAGTCAACCAGATCACTGGAGCCGCTGGTCCACAATGACACAGTGAGAGTTGGGGATTCTGGTCGCTGGAGTAGGAGAGCTGTTGTTTTGGGGACAGTTGGTCCTAGATCCTATGTGGTCAGGACTGAAGATGGCCAGACATTGAGGCGCAACCGTCGGGACTTGTTGAAGACACAAGAGACTCTTCAGGGACAGCAGACACAGGAGACTCTTCAGGGACAGGACTGTGACGATGGTTCGTCTCTTGTTGTTGGGCCGAACACGCAGCCCGGCTTGTCAGCAGGGATGGCTGTGCAAGACAGTGTCCCGTCAGCAGAGGGAGCCATATCTGAGCCTGTATCCTGTGGGCTCAGGAGGATAACGCGCATCATTAAGCCTCCGGAGAGATTGAATCTTTAGTAGGGCATAAACTGAAGAAAAAAAAAACTCAATACAACACAAGAAGCAGCACAATACGTTTTTTTTTGTGTGTGACAGGGGGGATGTAGTGATACCTATAGTGGTTCTGCCCACAAGGGGGCAGTATTAGATGATCTATTTAAGGGTAGAGGTGAGCACTGATGAGAGAATGATGTACAGCTGGAGAAGGAACACAATAAACATCTTTTGTGAAGAACCTGAAACTTGGTGCATACTTCCAGAAACATTACATATAGTCGTTCTTAACACATTTTGGGAGGCTGCAGAAGCACCCTTAAATTAAATCCCAGCACCCCTCAAGGTGATCAGAAGAAGCCCTCCCCACCTCTACTATAACCCCCCAATAATTAGAAGAATGCTTGTCTTCACTTTCCTGAGGGTGGAATGCCAAACCGTAGAAAATCTTTGTTTTGTGGGATAGCCGGCTACGTGTGACCAGGGCTTTAGTGCATAAACTTAAGTCTTGCAAAGGTTTCTCAATATTGCAACTAAAGTAACCATGAAATGGAAAACTGAAGGCAGTTTGGGAGGTTTAAAGATATCCACTTAGATTTTGGCTGCACTTGAACTAGCCGTTAGCTTGTCAGTCCAAGTGGATGTAAACTGTATTTCTCTGAACTGATGTTTTTCAGGAAGCTGCCTACAACATTAATTAGTTTTTTAATCGTACATAAAAACACTTTAAAAGGGCTAAATTTGTCATTTAAAATTTGTTTAATACTTGTTGAGATAATGACAAAATAATCAAATATTACTGTGTAAATATTTACTTGTTTGTATTTTGAGGAATTACAAGACTGGCCTGTCTTGTGACTGCGTCCTGTCTTTGCTCGTCACCTGACTCACGTATTTTACCTGACTTAACAAAAACGAGCTCTTTCTTGTTTGCCGAGGACGATTTAGCGAACAAGTGATTGGCTAGTGGACAGACGCTCTGTGATCTTATTGGTCCACAGTCGCGTCCATCATCGTGAAGAGGTGAGGCTTATGGCACAAGGAAGTGGAGCTGTAACATGAAATTTAGAAGCTTGAAATTAACGCAGCAGGAGAAAAGTGTGAAGTTGTGAGTAAACATGAACTTAGTGGTGTTTTTCCTCGTGGTTGTGGGTTTGAGTCCCGCCGCGGAGGCGCTGGATAACGGCCTGGCGCTGAAACCCACCATGGGCTGGCTGCACTGGGAGAGGTTCATGTGTAACACCGATTGTGACCACGACCCCGATAACTGCATCAGGTGAGCAGCTGCATCCAGCACGACAGAAACGCTGGTCTTTTACATTTTTGTGTCTGGTCTCACACAAGTCCCAAACAGGAAGCTCACAGGTTCCCTGGGTTTTTGACGGATTTAACACAGAAGGCATTGGTTGTTTAATTCCACATGGAGCTGAACAGGAAATCTGAGACTACTAACGTAAAATAAAACAGCAACATATGACTGAGAGCAATCATTGATAAGTATAAGGACGAATAGAAACCTTGTTGTTTCGTTTAGGAAAATATTTTAAAATACTTGTAAAACAATTTTTTTAAGTTTGGGAACCAACTAGGGCAGGGGTCCCAGTCCTCGAGGGCCACTGTCTAGCAGGTTTTACTTGTTTCTCTGCTTAAACACACCTGGTTTGAATCTACTAGTGATTAACAGGCTGCTGCAGAGCCTGATGAGCAGCTGAACAGGTGATTCATCCAGGAATCAGGTGTGTTGGGGCAGGTAAACAACTAAAACCTGCTGGATAGCGGCCCTCGAGGACCAGGATTGCCCACCCCTGTACTAGGGTGACCAGATCCCAACTTGCCAAATGTGGGACAGAGACTACTCAATGTGAGACAACGTTGGTTACGTATTGTAACCCCAGATTCTATGAGTCAAGTCGCAGCCCTTAAGCTAGCTGCTATTGGAAGGGTGATCTCAGCATCAGCCAATCATGAAGAGCTTAAATGTACGCCCACCAATGGTGGGCACCCCCGTGGGTGTCTAAGTGGAGAGACTCCACTGTTCGCCTCCGATGGCTCTTGGTCCTAACAGAACCAGTGGGGCCATTGGCTTAAGGGCTGTGACTAGACTCATTGAATCTGGGGTTACAATACGTAACCAACGTTCTATTTCGTCTTGTCGTAGCCCTTAAGCTAGCTGCTATTGGAATGATGTGCAGCTGAATGAGTTTACTCCACACTAGTTAGCTCAAACCAAATGGGCACATCCAACATTTCTCTTCTTAGAGAGGGTCGCTCAGCCTAAGCCCAAGGGGTTAGAAGGCTGAGGCAGCCAGAAAGAAGAGTGGGGTTCCCACTAAAATGATCATCCACAAGTGGACAAATTTAATGATCCATTGATGTAATCACTGGCTCATATATGAGGGGTGATAAGATAATAAGGAGCCCGGGGTGACAAGAGGGCAATGGACTGAATGGGACCCGTTATGAGGGGAACATAGGTAGTGATTGCGAACATATCCATCTGGATATGTATTATTGTAGCAGGGCCGATGTGAGGCCGTAATGTTTTCACTCAGCCTGTTGGGGTCCAAGCACTGAACGAGTGATGGATCCTGAAGAAACATCTCGTAAGTAATAACGAGTAAAGGAACATGGGGAAGCCCATGAAGCAGCTAGGCAAAGGTCTTCCATTGACACACCACTGTGGAGCACCACAGAAAAGGAAATGCCTCTGGCTGAGTGAGCCCTGAGTGTCTCAGGAGGATCCCGCCCTGATGATGTGTAAGCGAGTGAAACAGCGTCACATAGCCAGTGTGAAAGATGCTGGGTCGACAGCGCTTGCCCAAGGGAAGAGTCTCGGTAGTGTACAAAGAGGCTCTGTGAGCGACGAATCCCTGAAGTGCGTGACACGTATCGTGCGAGCGCGCGCACCGGGCAGAGAAGGTGGGAAGCCGCCTCCTCATCAGAATTATGGGGAGCAGCCAATGAAATTGACCTGGATTTGAAGGAAGTATTAATGTTTTGGGGCACAAAGGCTGGGTTGGGCATAAAATAGCAGACCCACCATCTTCCCGGATCCTGAGGTAGGCAGGAGCCACTGAGAGGGCGGTTGGGTCGCTCACTCTCTTGACTGATGCCAGTGCCAGCAGCAAAGCAGTTTTGAGTGACAGGAACTTGAGTGAGACCGGGTCCAAGGGCTCAAATGGGGCTTCAGATAAGCCGTGCAGAACCACCGTTAGGTCCCACTGGGGAAATAGTGGGCGGGACACAGGTCTGTTCCTTCCGACACCTTTTAGAAAATGTTTTGTGAGGGGATGATTGAAAACAGATCTTTCTCCAAAACCATGGAGACGGGATGGAATAGCTGCACCATATGTTTTAATAGTGCTGAATGCGAGGCCTCTGTCCATCAGTATCTGCAGAAACAATAGGACATCCGCCAGCTGACAGGAGAGCGCTTGACCATTCCGCTCTGTGCACCATTTTTGGAAAGCTGCCCATTTAGCAGCATAACAGGCAACGGTAGTGTGCGCGCGCACTCTGAATCATGTTGACCACATCACACGGCAGCCCAGAAGCTTCTAAGCGTGACCACTCAGCGGCCAGACCCACAGCCGTTGGCCTATTTCTGGAGGATGTTTGATTATTCCTCCCACCTGGAGGAGGGTGTCCTCCCTCCACGGGGAGCCGGACACCAGCGCTTGTAGGTCTGGAAACCATGACGCGGACAAGCGTCTGGGAGCCACCAGAATCACAGAGAGCTGTTCCGACTGAACTCATCCGGGGTCGGGTCGTGTGGGCTGTAGCCTAAGCAGGGAGGCCCAGACTTCCCTCTCCCCAGCCACTTGGGACAGTTCCTTCAGGGGAATCCTAAGGCATTCCCTGGTCAGCCACGAGACATAGTCCTTCCAGCGTGTCCTGGGTCTTCCTATAGGCCTTCTCCCAGTTGAATGTGCCCGGAAAGCCTCACCAGGAAGGCGTCCAGGAGGCATCCTAACTAGATGCCCGAGCCATCTCAACTGGCTCCTCTCGATGTGGAGGAGCAGCGGATCTCCTCTGAGCCCCTCCCAGGTGATCGAGCTTCTCACCCTATCTCTGGGAGAGCTCAGCCACCAGGCGCTCGCTGACATGCCCCACCTTCATGCCAGGCTCCAGACGGGGGCCCCGGTGACTTGCACCTGAGTGAGGGAATACTGTTTCCATTTATATTATTCATCATAAGGGATCTTTGGGCTGCACGTTGTCTGATCCCTCACCTAGGACCAGTTTGCCATGAGTGACCCAACCAGAGGCATAAAGCCTCAGGCAACTTAACTCCTAGGATCACTGGGACACTGAAATCTCTCCACCACAATAAGGTGGCAGCCCAGGGAGGGGAGTTTGGGAATGTTCGTCTTCGTCTTCGTCTTCCTCCGCTTATCCGGGTCCGGGTCGCGGGGGCAGCATCACAATTAGGGAGCTCCAGGCCGTCCTCTCCCCGGCCTTGTCCACCAGCTCCTCCGGCAGGACCCCAAGGCGTTCCCGGACCAGATTGGAGATGTAACCTCTCCAACGTGTCCTGGGTCGACCCGGGGGCCTTCTGCCGGCAGGACATGCCCGAAACACCTCCCCGGGGAGGCGTCCAGGAGGCATCCTGACCAGATGCCCAAACCACCTCAACTGGCTCCTTTCGATCCGGAGGAGCAGCGGTTCTACTCCGAGTCCCTCCCGAATGTCCGAGCTCCTCACCCTATCTCTAAGGCTGAGCCCGGCCACCCTACGGAGGAAACTCATTTCGGCCGCTTGCATCCGCGATCTCGTTCTTTCGGTCATTACCCAAAGCTCATGACCATAGGTGAGGATTGGGATGTAGATCGACCGGTAAATCGAGAGCCTGGCTTTCTGGCTCAGCTCCCTCTTCCCCACGACAGATCGGCTCAGCGTCCGCATGACTGCAGACGCCGAACCAATCCGCCTGTCGATCTCCCGATCCCTCCTACCCTCACTCGTGAACAAGACCCCGAGATACTTAAACTCCTCCACTTGAGGTAGGACCTCTCCCCCGACCCGGAGGTGGCAAGCCACCCTTTTCCGGTCGAGAACCATGGTCTCAGATTTGGAGGTGCTGATCCTCATCCCAGCCGCTTCACATTCGAATGTGAACCGAATGTGAAGTTTGGGAATGTTTTTAAATAAAAATTAAAAAAATTAAATACAATTCTAAGGCTTGCATAATGCAGAAACTGTGCTGTTGGTCATAAACATTTATTCTAATTACTAATTTAAAATGATTGTATTTTAAAAGTTTGGGAACGTAATGCTTGGAATTAATCAACTTACATTTGAATGTTAACATCCAGAAAATAAGTATTTGCATGCATAATATTCCAGGGCTAAATTGGTTATATCATATATTATTATAATTTTGAATAAATAGGAATATTAATACTAAGGTGATGATGTTTCACTTTTTACTGATACATAGGTTGACTCTGGAGCTCTCTCCCCCAGTGCCTGAGATCAGTGGACTCAGTGGTCTCCTTTAAAAAAGCAAACGCAGCTGAAGACACCTGTTCACTCTGGCTTTTGCGTGACCTTCGTCACTACCCTCTCCTTATTCTGCTCTTATTCCACCTTTCCTGGCATCCAGTGATTTCCCTCATTCCTATTAATTATTTCTCTCCCTTTTCTTACATATTTTTATCACAATTTTTTTTCTCATTTTAAACATATTTTTAATCTTTTTAAAACTTTTAATTTATTTTTTTGTTGGGTTGTGTGAAGCGCCTCGTGATTTTTATCGGGAGAGGCGCTATATAAAATATTTCTGTAGGTTTAATTCGTACCTCGACAGTATATTGATACTAAAACGGCGGGTTTTACTTTAGAGAGCAAATGAGGTATTTATTTTGAATACCTTCTGTTCTAGTAGGATTAAATCCTCACCAAACCAAGAATACTGGAAAATCTTAAAAGTTCCGTTTGAAAGGAGTTTAAAGTTTAGATTTGAACTCTACAATTTAACATTAGTTTTAACTGTAAAATGTGTTTTTCCCCCCCATTCTTGCTTGATTAAAGATAAAAGATTAAGCTCCCTTGCTGTTATTCAATAAGTAGCAAGTAAAGACTGCAGGCGGACCTGTTTTGCACCTTACAACTGTACAAATGGTTCAGAATGTGGTTTGACAAACAGTTGTCCTCTTTGCTTAAAGGGGCATTATGGCAGTGTGACAGCCAAAACATGTATAGAAATAATAAATTTCTTCTTCACACATTCTCCTGCTATGCCCTGGTCCTGTAGAATGAGCCCTGGCATTTTTA